TTATTTAGTCCTACATTTCTGCTTCTTTTTTCATTTTTATTGCACTATCCTTTCCAAATGAAAAAAGAAGGGGGGGGATGCTCAGAAAAAGAAAATTAGGCAATTGAAACAGAAACCTATTAACTGGCTCCAAAGAGTAAAAACTAAATGGTGTTTTATACATATCTCTTCTTATAGCAATTACATGAACACATACCTATCTGTATGTTTTCAAATGCTCTGCCTCTAGTAGGATTTATATGCCAATGGTCATTGTATTCAACCTGATTCAACCCCAAGTGAATGAATGAATGAATGAATGAATATATATATATATATATATATATATATATATATATATACATATGGAGGAATTCTTGGTAATCTTACCGTAAATGCTGTAATGGCCAAACAACTCAGTTTTTGAAAACCTAGTATAGGGCAGAATGCTATGTGAGATTCTACGGAGACAGGGCAGGGATGCTAGAAACCTTCCTCATGCAGATGAGTTATAATAATCTATTCAAGAAAGAGTATAGAGCTTATAATGGAAAAATAACACCCACTACAACACTTTTTAATCTGAAATTTTAAATGTATCAAATAACATTATTTGATAGGCCAGTGTTGAGTTATACCTGCATTCTTCATAAAGGATTTTTAAATTTGTGCTGGATAGAGTTTATAAATATTTTACTTAAGATTTCTGTAACTATCTTCCTAGTTGAAACTAGTCTATAATATTTCTTTTGTGTGTGCTTTTTTTCTGGTTTTGGTACCTTTCCTCCTCCTTTAAAATTGTTTCTTATTCTCAGGAACCATTTTTACAGGTTTGGTAAAACCCACCTAGCCTACTGTCATTTCTGTGAATAGAAATTTAAAATACCATGTTGATTGGATTTCTTTGACCAGTTATATTTAAATTTTTCCCTCTTGGGTTTGCAGATGCTGCCATCCCCCTTTAGCAGTTCGTGACCAACATGGTCAGCTGCACCTCACCACATCCCCAAGATGGTGAGCACTTGGGCCATGGCGCCTTCCAGCGGTTTGCAGACAACATTCCATAGACTGCAGAAAACTTTCATGCTCTGATCACTGGAGAGAAAGGGTGGGTTGTCAGTGTTCCTGCTTTCACAGACTTATTCTAGGATTTATGTGTCAGGGTAGTGACTTCACACACCACAGTGGTGCTAGTAGTTAGTTCATCTGTGGGGAGAAATTCAATAAAGACTTCATCCCGAAGCCCACGGGTCCCGGCATCTTGTCCAGGGGGAATGCTGGACCAAACACAAATGGTTCCCGGTTTTTCATCTGCCTTGCTAGACAGAGAGGTTCTACAGCCTGTGGTCTTGGGAAGGTGAAAGCATATGAATGCTGTGGAGTCCAGGGAGCACTTCGGTTCCAGGAATGGCAAGAACCAGCAAGAAGCCATCACTGACTGTGTTGGACTTGTAGGATCAACACCACCAGACCATCCCTCTAGCTCAGCAGAGCCCCCTGCACGCCACCTGCTCAGAAACGCCTCTCTGCTCTTGATGCAGTTCTTTGGGCTTCATATTTTCCTCGCTCCCCTCCAAACATGAATTGCAGAGTTAAGTTTATGGTTATGATTAAAAACTGAATAATGGCTAATAAGTTTTTCTTTCACTTTGAAACAATGCTTGCTAGTATTTTATGAAAATGGTTAGTATTGCTTATAACAATCATGTGATTTTTACAAATAGCTGCATATTGATAATCGTTTCTTCTTTGCATTTTTAAAATTATTTGCTTGGTAATTTCTTGTGATTACTTTTGAAAATGTTTTGTTCATTTTATTATTATCTTTGGTTTCTGGTTTTGGTTTAATTACACCTCTCTATTGATTCTTTTTGTCTTCATTTTCACTAATTTCTGCTCACTTAAAATTTTCTAACTCCAAGAAAGGTATATTTAAATCTTCCACTTGAGTTGTGGTTATGTCAAATGCATTTCCAGAATTTTGCATTGTGAATTAAGTTCTCATTATATTTAGGAAATTTCCTCGAGGAGAAACTGTTAGGTTCAAATGTTATGCTAAATTTTTAAAGTATGCTAAAAAGCAAAGCAAAACAAAACAGAAACAAAATACCCCAAAACAATAACAAAAAACCCACTTAAGTTTTAATAGAGTTTGCTAGGTTTTAAAAAATCTTTTAATTAGGAGTTGGGCTAAAGTCTTAATTCTAGAAGAAACTATAATTAGACTTAAAGGTTGCATCCAGAGTCTTCCCATTATTTCTTTGTATATTTTCAGACTATTCTTTTGGTTCATATAGTCTCATAATTCTTTCCTTTTGATTTTCCTTTTTATCATTATGCAATGACTACTTGACTATTTTCTTTTTCTTGCCTGAGGTCTAACTCGTGAACAAGATCATGGCATCTTTCTTTGGATTAAGATTTGTCTATCTTTTTTTGTCTTCACTCCTTTCCCTTCCTAATCATTTTGTATTTGGGTGGGGAATGAGTCTTATAAAAATTATGCAGCTATATTTCATTTTAAATTCCAAGCAGATATTTTGTTCTTATTTTGATAAACAAATTCAATCTATTTACACATGAAATTAATGTTCAATTTTTGTCTAATTTATATTTATTCTGTTCTTTTTTCTTTAATGGATTGAGAAATTATTATTTATTATACAAAATAAAACCCACTTTTCTATTCTTCAAATAGTTATATTTAAAATTACAGCAAGCATACTTATCAAAACCTAATCAGTATGTCTGTTATTCTCTTATACAATACAAATCATTAAACTGTTTCAAATCTACTTGTTTAGCTTGTTTTAAATCATGCAAATAATAATTATTGTTGTAACTATTATTTTCCATGGTTTATTTAGATTTACTCACATGCTATTATTTTGCTTATTATTGCTTCTGACATCTTTATCTCTTTTGTTCAATTTTGTTACGATATTTTTACTAGTTATTCTTGGGTAGATATTCTTTTTCAGAATCTGAGAGTAGTAAATTTCATAGACATATAATTGAACATGTCTATGTCATTCTCATTTTTATAAAATAATTTGAGAGTACAATTGAAGGTGGCAATAATTTTTTCTCAGTTTCCTAAAGTTTTAATTCCATACTTGCTAATGAGAAATCTATTGCTGATTTAACTGTCATTATTTTGTATAAATTTCTCTTTTGTCTCCAGTGGTATTAAGATTTTATCACTGATGTTCTCTATATGCTACCTTGGAGTGGTTTCATTGTTATTTTTTCTACTTGGGACTTGTAGATTTTCTTCAAGATTAATGTCTTCAAGTCAGGATCATTTTCAACACATTTCCCTAAATCATAGATTGTTTGCCCTATTTTTAAAAATATATATTTTAATTGTGGAATTTCTCTGAGATCTATTCTGTCCTCTGTAATTTTTTTCTTCTGGTTTTTTATTATCTTGAATTCCTGTAAATACTAACTCTTGTTTCTTCTGTCTACTAAGGCTCGCTTACAATGGCTTTGTTTCTTGTTTAGTTTGTAATTTCAACTACTTGGGACTCATCTTTAATATTTTCATTTTTCCCCTTTATTTTTTTTTTCTTTGCATGGGCATTTAATACAATGTGGTTTGTGAGACTATTTGTATGGCTCCAGTTTGGGTTGGCTTCAGCCTGGACCCATGGGGGGCTTCACTGATTTGGTACTGGTTTTGAGGCCAACATCTTGACTGGGAATTCCATTCTTATGATGGTATTACAAATTTGGACATGGGCCCAGCCCATCCCCAACACAAACACAGGAGGTTTGATGGGATTTCAATTTTTTTTCTTTTTTGCAAAATCCCTTTTCGATCCAGGGTACCTGGCAGACAATTCTTTCTTGTGCCTCCTGTGGCCTGGGAGAGATTTCCTGCTTCTTTTTCATACAGGAAGCAGCTCTCTTTTACAATTGCAGGTACCACTTCTCTTACCCCTCTCCTTCTCTGGGTCCTGAATAACCCTTTAGGATCCCACAACCCACAGCTCAGTAGCCCATATTGTGGGCTAATGTCCCCTCCTTGCTTCTGCTTGGAAGGAGGGAGACATTCTCTGATTCCCTTTTCCACTTGGCCAGGCGTTAACAAAAATTCCTACATGCTTCTATTTGTAAAAGACTTTTATTTGTCTTCTTTGGGCTGGGAGAGCCCCAGCAGCTCAGCACTCCATGCTCCTGGAGGAGGGAGTATCAGTTTGTAAGTTCTGGGTGCCAAACATGTGACAGAACAGGGCTGTGTACTCTGGAGAAGGGTGAGATCCCTGCAGACAAAGAGGCCTGCGTGACCCGTTCTTGCGATATTGCACAGCCTGCCTGCAAGCTGATTCTTCTTAAAACAAACAACCTTCACTCTTTAAAACAAGTAACCTTCCTAGCTCTCAGAGTGCAGAAAATCTGACCTGTTCTCTTTGAATCTCCATATTCACACATGAGCCATATGCACATACAGAAACGCACAGTACTAGTTTGTTAAAGGAACAAATAAAATAGATACTTTGTGGAAGTTACACATAGAAGTTCAAATATCAGATAAGCTGAGTAGGAGGTGATAAATGTCATATTACACTAATGGCTATGATACTGAATCACATCAGTGTTGAGGATACATTTCTAACTGTTTAACAGCATCAGTTTGCCTTTCAATATCAGTAAGGTACTTGAAAGTTTTGGCATTAAAGTTCACCATAGGTAGGACTGTTTTCCAAGCTTCCTCTACCTTTGGTTAACTTTGCTAAAAAGGATTTGCCCAAATGATCATCCCATAACCCTTGGAAGGTAGTTTCAAGCTCAGTCCTGCCTCAGGCCTCCCAGGGCCACCCTGAGATACCTGGTCAAAGCCAAGTGCTTCTGGAGCAGCAGTGGGATGCCTGAACACTATGGATGGGGCACAGGCTTCTTGGGGCCTGTGTTAGGAACCTGAGCCCATGACTTGGCTTGGAATAAAATATTGCTACCACGTTTAAGTACAATCTTGATAGTACCACATTACATTGATCCAAATGTGCAGGAATTACCGTGTAATTTCGAGTGAGAGAGACATCAGTACCATCTTGCAGATAATGAGTTTCAGTGAAATCACTGGCAATGAGACCTCTGTGGAAACATAAAAACAACAACAAGGTGAGTACAGAATTGCACTGATATGTTGCCTGTGAAGGCCTAGGCCCCAGCAGCTGCACGCGTCTGACCTCACTTTACAGATAATATGACAGGGCTCCCAAAAGGCTTTCACCTGTTCAGATTGTCCAGGGTGAAGCTGTGGGAGACTCAGATATGTGTGCCCTGAATAGTAGCCCATGTGGTTCATGTGCAGCCTCCCCCACTCCTCCCAACTTCTTTCTCCAACGTACACACCTAAGCACCCACATTTGTATACGGGAATGCGCACATGTGCATTCACACTATTTTACACTAGTACTGGCAAATTTCTGAGTTGGGAAAACATCCTTCTGGAAGTCACAAGACTCCACTGAGTACAATCAATGGCTAAGTCACCTGCTGGAAAAAGAATTTTGGATCCACAGTAGATTCCCTGCTGTTCCCCTGCTGGTGAGGGAGCCAGCTGTCAATACTGAAATGTCACGGAAGAGAGCAGGAGCAGCGAGGAAATGTTAAAAGCAGGGATACAGATAAGAAGTGAGGAAAAATGATTTTGGATACACTGAAATATTGAACTGCTAAAATAAAGAATGAGAGAAAACCCTCCAGTTTATCCTAACTAAAACCATATGTATTCCATTGTCTTCACTGAAAACAGCAAAATAGGTTATGTAGCTTTTAAAATATTTCACAACTCCTTAAGCTATGTGCATTATTTTATCTTGTTCAATAAAACTAGAGGAAGCATTTTTTGTGTACTTACTATGTGCTAGTTTTTAGCTGCTGGGATATAAAAATAAATAAGACTGTCCCCTGCTCTTGGGGGTACTACAGACTGACGGAGTGGGGAGAGCTGTCAAAAAATAGTGACTGCATCTTCCTAAGTGAATGGATGTGTGGTTGGTAGAAGGCACAGTGTGCTATCTAATCATAATTGTCAACTTGATGGATTAAGAGTCTTTTGGTTTAGTGACTGGATCATGGGGCCTCCATACATATTAACCCACTGATGGTCATGGCTGAAAGTGCCCAGTTGAAGGAGATGAGTCACCTGGAGTGTGTCTTTTGAAAGTATGTCTCTTGCTGGTTCTCTCCCCTTGTGGCCTGTTTCCCAGTCACCATGCAGTGAGCAGGTTTGCTCTGTCACTGTCTTTCATGATGTTTCTGTTGTGGCCTAAATCTCTCCTCCTTTAAATTTGTGGTCTCGGGTATTTTACTAGTTCAGTGAAGGCTGACTAAAACATATTGGAAGGGGAAGGTTTTGCAGAGGGACCTAATTACAGCTGGACCCGGCAGATGAAGGGGAAGGTGGCTAGGCACAGGAGCAATAGGAGGACAGGGAGTACCAGGCAGAGGGCAGCCAGATCAGGAGACCTGAGAGACTACGACTTGGGAAACCAAGTTGGTGCAATACAAGAGAGGACTTTAAACAGAATGAGGATTTTATTTATCTGGGCAATGAGGGGTCTGATCTTTGCAGGAGGTACAGCAGAAGATTATGGTGCTCTTTTCTTTCCTGTCTTCAGAGAATGTTCTTTATAGCACTGGCATCAATCACTCTACCCTGGACCCGGAGATGAGCACAAATCTCCCTTACAACATCCTAGAGCTGGGACTTCTAGGGAAGGGGTCTTTCCTCATTCTCCAGGCTCAGGATGCAGCTACAGGCCTGCTTCAACCCACTTTGGAAAGATGCTTACAGGAGGCACAAAAAACTGTCATCTGTGGTGACAAAGGGAAGGAAAAGGGAGGTTTGTAGGAGCCCCTGCACCCCATGTGGCTTCTCTTCTTATTCAGTCAATCCCTTTCTGGCTTCAGCTGGTTCAAATTGGGTTCTGTAGTCAGCATCCTGATAAATATGGCAGGAAGGGTTAAAAGTGAGAACGCTCTGAGTATGAAGAATAAAAAATACTTTCCCTAAAAACTCCTATTTTCTTAGCAAACTTCCCGGCCAACTTCGGAATAGAGGGTAATCTCCCTGTTTTATATAGATTTCAATATATTTAGGACATGCCTGGTTTAAATCAGTTAGACTCTTACAGTGGGGCTGAGTTGTACTATACTTAACAGTGAGTGTTTGAGAAGTGTGTGCCAAAAATATAAAACACAATCTTTCACACTCACTGACAAAGCACATGGATTCTCCTGTGTCCTGCATTTTTCACTCTGGGAGAAGCAAATTGTGCTGGAGAAGTCTGGCATTTCTGGCAGCATCTGGCTTGCAAAATCCCATTTTCTAAGTCCCCTCTCTGGAGCTGCCCCGGGGATCCCTGAAGGCGTGGGGATGGTCAGAAGAGGGCATGGGCAGGGAAGGTGAACAGACACACAGTCCTGCAGAAAGGAGTCTGGAGAAGGGGTGGACACTGTCCACGTGACAGAGGGGTTTGGGAAAGTAGAGGACACTGGCCACCTTAAGGGAGCTACAGTGAGAAGGAAAAGGAGAAGCCAATAGGTCTTTCCCCAGAGTGATTTGCAAAAGAAACAGGAATAGGAATGGAAGACCAGAGATAGTGCCCTGGGGGCAGTAAGATAATCAGAAGTGGCTGAACTGGTTAGATGAGGACAGAGAGGGCACAGTGGGAGCAAAGCTGCTGAGGAAAGGACTGAAGGATGCTCAGAGCACAGAGGATGTGTAAAGCCCACTGCCCCAAGAGGCAGGACCTGTCATGGCCTCAGGGGTCTCAGAAGCTTGCAGACCACAGAGAAAGGAGAAAAATTTAATATACCTTAAGTCACATTATTATTGTATCACCACTCACTCATAATTTTATTTTATTAATTTAGTAATTTAGATCTTAACAATGTTGGATCCTATTCTGAAATAACAATGCATAGAAACACGTAATATTAGAGAAGTCACATGCAGAAATCTGTAGAACAAAGAGATGTCAGCTGCGGGCTCCCAAACAGGTGTTACTGAAAGCTAGTTTAGATGGAAGTCCCAGGAGAAAATTCCTTCCATGCATGAGAGACTGACCATCCATCAGGAACGCATGAGATGAGAGGAGATTTTGGAGATTTCTGTCAGAAAACTAGAAATTTTGGGGTAAAGTCATAGTAAAAAATATATAAAAATTTTAAAAAGTGTGATTCAGTACACATGATTTTCTGTGTGTGGCACTAGGGATCAAACCCAGGGTCTTCACCCTGAGCTACATCCTTATCCCTCTTTAATTTCTAATTTTGATTTTTAATTTTTCTTTTCTTTTTTATTGGTACCAGGGATCGAACTCATGACCGCCTGCTTGCAAAGCAGGCGCTTATGCCGCTGAGCCAAATCCCCAGCCCCTTTAATTTCTAATTTTGAGACAAGGTCTTGCTAAATTGCTGAATTGGCCAGGCTGGGCTCGAACCTGCCTCAGCCTCTCAGAGTGCTGAGATTACAAAGTTACTTACCTTGCCCTGTTGCAGTGCTTTTATTGCTTGCCATCAAAATGTCATTCAAGCTCAGCAGAAGTACAACCACAGTCATACTCTGAGCTCCAGAAGCTCCCAGGTACTGGTGCATGCTTTCACTTGCCCAGGAAGAAGGAGCAGAGACCCAGCATATCCCCTGAGTCTGTTCTACAGCTGTGGCACCCAGGGACAAAGCTCCTATCCGAGTTTCTGCCTTCCAATCTGGGCGGCAATCTTGCCACTGTATATTGTTCATCCCCGTTAGACATTTGGAAGGGGAAGAAAGCGGAGCCAGCAGGAACCCAGTGCTGCAAGCTAGGAACAAATACGGCCTTCTGTACTTGATTAATAATGGAAGCTTGAGGAAGAGATGGGAAAGCGAGAAGACTCTGGCTTCCCCAGAGTCTGCTCCAGGATCTGCCGTGGTGCAGGCCACGTATTTGCTAGCAGAACACATCCTGGGGGCGCCGTGGTGCCTACTCCCTGCTCTGGCCTCTTCATTGCCCGCTCTCGTCTCTCTCAGCTTCCCCTCCCCACCCCACTTCCAACACTTTGCTGCCTTCCCATGGCCTCTGAGGTGCTCACAGCCCCATCCTGCCTACCGTCCCTCTATACTGGGGCAGTTTTTCCCTCTGGCTCATGCTTACTCCACTTGACAATGGCCTCCAACTGGTTCTGGAACATTTTAGAGCCTCTCTCATGAGGGCCTTTGCATTTGTCATGCCCTGTGCCTGGAATATTCTTCACAGGGCTTTTCATGCTGTGGGTTCCCTTCATTGTGCTATTCTTAGTTTACATGCTGTCTTCACCTCTGGTCTTTTCATCCATACTACCCCACATCATAGAGCCCCTCTGGTTGCCTGCACAGCATTCCTACTCAGTTTATTCATCTATTTACTTCTTTGCCTATCTCCTTCCTCAAGAATATGGCATGAGGGAGCTGTGTACACCACAATGTCCCCCAGTTCTGCAGAGCACCTGCCATAGCCTCTTCCTTCCCAGCTCCCTATTGTAGGCTGGGAATTTCCCCTGGGCCAGGCATTTACTAAGCCTGTCATATCTCATTTAATCCTTACAGTCTGTCTCTATGGGGTAGTCATAGAGTCAACCGACCTGACTCTCATCACACTGTAAGTGGCAGTGCGTGGGTGGTTTGACTTTAGAACTTGTGCTCTTAACTGCTGTGTGCCACTACTGCTTTACAAGCGAATTAAGTGATATTTACTACTTTCTATAGGTGCTATGCTAACTGCTGGATAAATGGGTATTGAGAAGACTAATAGAAAAACAGGCACCCTCCTTTTATGCCTAGGACTCTCCCTTCCCTTGTGGGTAACATGAATTCCATTTTCTTTTCCAGTGCCTGGGTAAAACTGAGAAAGTGCTGATTGAGGCATTCAGAGATGTTGCTTACTTTAAAAGTGGGTAGAACTCAAAGGAGAAAATTAAGAGGGGCATATGGACAGTGACCATATTGGAAATATGACAGCAATGATCCTGTAGATTTCCCTGAAGAGCAAATCCAATTAGATGGTCTCTCTCATGTCAGCATACGGGAACAGAAGGTGAATTCATAATTTCATGATAACACTTCTTTT